ATCAAGAGGGTTGGGGGGGCTTCGTCCCGGCTGCTGCACATGGCCGGGAGAAAGTTCGCGGGGCTTGGGGGGGTGGGCCTTCGTCCCGGCCGCTGCGCGCAGCCGGGACGAAGGATCAAGAGGGTTGGGGAAGGTCGGCCCTCCTCCAAACTGCTCCATGCAGCTGGGAGGAAGCATCGACGGGGTGGGGGGGGGGGAAGGCAAGGCCGGGGAAGGCGGGCCCGGCAGCCTACTTACCCTCCTCCTGCTTCGTCCTCATTCTCCAACAGAATGAGGATCGAAGCAGAGGGCGGGTGAAGAAGGGGGCGGGGCTTCACCACGTGACCGCCCCGCCCCCGGGAGGATCGCTTCCGGAGCGCCGTGCCGGAGCGCTCCCCCCCGATGAGACCCCTGTCCTTTATACTCTGCTTTTCTCCCCAGTGGTGACCCAGAGCAGCTTACATAGAGTCCACCCTCCAAAGCAGCCATTTTCTCCAGAGGGACAGACGCCTGGAGTTCAGCTGTTATTCTGGGTGATCTCCAGGTCCACCGGAAGGCTGACAACCTCTGGGTGACTTGATGCCCCCTGACTTGATGTCCCTTATGTGTGACTATTTGGAGGTCACGAAGAAGAATATGGCAGTATTTCAGCCTGCTTTACAGGATTGTCATGAAGAAGGCTGAAATATAAAATACTCTAATTCCCAAACTGTTACAGAAATCAACAATAATACAATTTAAGTGTGTGTTACTTATTTAAATATTTATGACCTGGCTTTCTTTTGTTCCTCAAAGCAGTTTACAAATCTCAATTTAAAGCATACAAAGTACAAGTAAGCTATAAACGACACCCCACCCCATTAAAAGCCCTAGTGAATAAAATAGTGTTAGTGTCTCCTAAAAAAAAATATTGAGAGGCAATGCCCCCCTCACCTTCCTACCATTCTATAGGATGGGAGCTACTATAGGAAATGCATAGGTTCTGTTTGAAGCCAGAGGTCCTACCTTAACTGGGAGAATAGCCAACAGATGACAACCTGTGGACTATAGCTGGTACACAAGGACACCAGACACCTGAAGCTGCGTTAGACTGAGCCAGACCACTGGCCCATTGAAAAGGTTACTGTCTGCTCACACCAGCAGCCTCCTAGGGTTTCCAGCAGAGGTCTCCCATACCACCTACTACCTGATACTTTTAAATGGAGATGGTGGGGACTAAACCAGGGACCTTCAGCATGCTAACCTATGGCCGCTGCCTCACTGAAAGAAGAAAGCCTACCACAGCTGGGTTCCTTCTGCAGTCTTTTATAATCTCGAATTGCTTGTGAGGTCTATATTTTACCCTTGAGGCCTAGAAATGTGCTTTTTATAGAATGAAAGTAGAGACTTTCAGATCGTTCCACCACAATCGGCCCTAAAGACTCCTGGGCAATCTGCTCCAGTTTACCATAAAGAAATGTATTAATAAATAGAAGAGGTGGGGGAGCAGGTTCCAAGAAATGTAAAAAGGGCTCAGATTTTAAGTATAGCATAAAATAAACTTCTCAGGCTCTGAAAGCTCTGTCTCCTCCCCTCTACATCTTTCCCACTCACAACTGTCCCATCATCTCCTAACCATGAACAGCAGTACCCACCTCTTTCCAGCCTCTATCCCCCCTCCCCCAGCTGAGCTATGTCCCTCAATCTTGTCATTCAGACCTGTTCCAGACCTCTGCCCCAGTGAAGCTATGGACATATGGAGACAGCTCCCAGGTTGTCCTTGTTAGGCATCTAACTCATGTGCATCAGTCTGCAGGGCAGGACATCTCCCCACTGCTGCCTCCACCCAGATGCCTCATCTCATCTTGTACAGCTGCAATGGAGGAGCCCACAGCACTGGCTGCAGCTGGCAAAGACCCAGGAAGATGGCTGCGCACAAGACCCTGCCTGTTGTGAACTGTCACTTGCAATCAATCCACCCACAAAGGAGATGTAGCCAAGACAGAAGGTAAGCAAAGGCAAAGCACTAACTGGCCACACCACAGACAGTGACCCCCCCACACACTCAACAGCATCCCTGCCCTCAAGCCCCCACAAACTCCTTCGGAACAGTGGCATCTTCTCCTTCACGCCACAGAAAGTATTTATTTCCTCAAACAGGGACCCCTTCTTCCTCCAGCCACTAGAGGGCACAATTAATTTACATATCATTTCAAGAATGTTCACTACCCTCTCCTAGGAGTGAGCTCACACTAGTTTTTAAACATACTTGTTTAAAGTATTTTAAAATGCTGTTCACTTTGGGAGTCTTTTTAAATCTTTCACAAGACAGCTGCCTTGGGCACCAATCACCCTCCTATTGCCCAGGGGCATCCTTGGCTATCAAGCACCAACACTGGTTGGATAACAGGGTCTCTGGTGCTCATTTAAAACATATATAGCGTTTCAATTACGCTTGCAGAGCATTGTCCTGGAGTGTTTTGCTTTATATGGATTGACATCTGTCTATAAAGTAATTATGTATGCAGGGCCGGCTCACCCACTAGGCGAACTAGGCATTCGCCTAGAGCGCCGGGCCCTGGATGGGATGCCGAACTGTGCCTCCCCCCCCCACCAAAAGCCAGCGTGCTATTGCTGCTCCCACCCATGTGGCATGGGGGGGGCACGAAAGGGGAGCGCAAGGCCGCCTTGCCTTCCCCCTCTGCCCGGGGTCGGCTTTTGTAAATCCAAATGTGGGGTGTTTTGGTTTGGGTGCCCGGAAACCTCACCGCCTCCTCCTCGCTCGCCTAAAGGGGGAGAGAAGTAGGACTTCCTTCTCTCCAGGCTCTGCCTGGAGGTTGGCAACCCCATAATTGGGCACGCGGGGAGCGCCAGAAGGTAGCCCCACCTAGGGTGCAAAAAACCTCGGGCCGGCCCTGTATGTATGAGTACCTGGATGTTGTGTTTACCCTGTTCTGAACAGTCATTTCACAGGCATTTCACTTCTATAGTTTGGAAGTTCCTCATAATGTTTAACTTAAATCTACCCTTGTGCGCTTTAAGCACAGATCAGTAAATAAGTGAAAATTGTTCTCTCTTTTTTTTTACATCTTTCTAAATATATCTGAAAACTGATTTTCTTTAATGTCCTTTTCCCTAAACTGAAACTATCAGTTTCACTCCACCTTTTCTTATATGATTTGTCTTCTTTTGTCATCCTTTCAGATCTCCTCTAATAGCTTTTCAGTTTTTCAACATCCTTATTTATTTATTTATTACTATTTGTATCCCGTCCTACCCCACAAGCAGACTCATCCTTCTTGAACCGTCATGCCCAAATAAGATGTCCTGGGTTAGTTCCCACAGACCTGTTCCACTAATGGTCATGTTTTCCTTCAGCCTGACAAGTCTTTCAACTATGCAAGAAATTCTCCCACCAAGCAAGAAGGCTCTTACACTGGAGAAAAGAGCCTCTGTTAATATAATGGATCTGTGGAATCTGACTGTCATTATTTATTGGTGTAAACGTGCCCAAGAGAAGCTAAACAGCTGCTCATTCAATGTATTTGATCTGTGCAAATCCCCCATGTGCCTTGAGCTGGGTCCAGGGTGGCCCTTAGCTATCCACAGACAAGGTCTAAAGCCTCGTCAGGCTGGGCCCTGATGTCTAGGCGAACAAAGAATCATGATTCTTCTGAACTGCTGAGCCCTTTCCTTGTCAGAGGAACTTCCCACATCCTTCTAGAGTAGCACGAAAGCACTGAAACACAAGTTTCAGATCTGGTATTAGGCCTTCACATCAATTGAACTTTTCACCCTTCCTATATTGTTCATGCTCTAAAAACGTAATAGTAAAAGTAATCAATGCGACTTTTTGTGGCATCATACTAATAGACAGCCCTTCAAAATGTGCTCCCAGGCCAAGAAAGACAAAAACATCAACTCACTAGGGTACGTCTTGTTCATCCACTCTCTGAGAGGTCAGAACTAGGCAGTTCTGCAATGCTGAGGAAGTGGAAGCCCTGTGCCAGTAAAGAAAAGCAACAGATAAAGTAAACAGTGACAAAGGCCTGAGACAATAACATGCTATAATGTTTGCACTAGGAGATCATTGCTACTTTCTGCAGCACCAAGGGATTGAGCAGATCTCAGGATACTGAAACATAGCAATACCTCAGAAAAGAAATTCCAAAGAAAGACTCCAAAGCCAGGTCCTTACCAAGATGGTAAACGTGTCTGGACGGTACCACTTGAGACCGCACACACAAGGGCTCACATGAAGGAATGCCCCCTCATGACAAAAAAAAATTCTACATTTAAAAAATAATCATTTCTGGGTGCAGAGAATGTTTTGGTGAGCCAAAGCAACCAATTTTGTGAGCCCCCTGTAATCTGAAATGATACACTCCATACACAAAGTTACCTCAGTCAGAACTAGGGCCAAGTTTCCTTTTGCAGCTGAGGATATCGTGTCCCTGTCTCAAACTCCACTCTGGTCTTCCATTCCTTTCAGTCCTAATACATCATACCCCTATCCTACATACATAGCTCTACCAATCAAACAGGCCTCTTCTGTTCTTCATCTACATTATTTGCTGTCACTGTGGTTATCACAGCCCACGAAGTCTGGCCCACCTAGGATCAGTGCTAGCATCAAAATTGGGCCTGTTTCATGTTACTGGGAGATTCACCAAATCATCAAAAGATCTAATTCTTAACATGGCCAAATCTGTGGCTACTTAAATTAGAGGTTGAAGCCACAAACAGGTAAAACATTTCTTTCTACAAACCTGAGAAAAGCACCAGGTTTGCAAAAAAAAAAATTTAATCTGAAATCTTTAAAAAAATATACTGAGGGTTAAATCTCCCCAAAATAATAGAAGCAATACCTGTAGCTTTAAGAAATCAATGCCCTTAGTTGCTAGGCAGCCACAATAGTCTTGCCAGTTGAAATCTTGGTTAGTAAAAGGTAGGGACAGAGGGCAGAGGCCTTTTTAGGGCTGTTTTGCCCTTTGAGGAAAGACTCACTGGAACCAGGCCTGGCAACCACCACCAGAGTACTTTTTAAAAAATGTACATTGCCTAGAGCCCCACACCTGTGGGGATTAGGCAATTTTCGAATTTAATTAAATAAATATTAAATAAATACCAGCTGGCCTGCATGACTCAGGCCCGGCTGTTGGCTGTTCTTCTACAGCAGCCACTGCACAAACAGCAGTATGTTATAGTGGTTAGAATTTCAGACTAGGATCTGGGAGGGGCAGGCTCAAATCCCCATGGCTAATGGACTCTGACTGGGTAACCTTGGGCCAGTCATACACACTCAGCCTAAAGTACCTCACAGGGTTGTTGTGAGGATAAAATGGGGGACAGGAAAACAATGTAAGCCATTTTGGGTCTCCATTGGGGAGAAAAGTGGGGTATAAATGAATTATATAAGTAATAAATAAAGCTGAAGGTGATGAGCAGATAAAAGGCTGCTTGGTGGATGGGCAGGAAGAAATGGGTTAATGACAGGAGGAGGAGAAAAGGAAATAGTGTGGGGAGGGGCTATAGGGGAAACTGGGGTGCACCTCAAAAGTCCTTGTGGGTTTCCCACTGCGCAACCAGGCCTGGACCAGTGGCTGGCACTCAGAAACTCCACCAGACTTTCCCCAGGGAATGACTGCCAGAGATATGGAAGGAGGGAAGGCTGAAGACAGAGGCAGATAAAAGTATGGTGGATGGGAAAGAGAAGAGGAGGCAGGAAAAGGCAAGACGCTCTGGGGGCTTTCAGAAAAGGGAAATAGGAAATACTGGAGGAGGGGGAAATTCAATACTGCCTGCAAGTCCTTTAGGGTTGCCAAGTCCATCTTCCACCCCCAGCGGGGGACTTTGGAGGCGTTCCTGGAGGGGGCAGGGCATCCCCGACGTGATGACGTCACGTTGGGGACGTCCGCTCTCCCCCCCCCCGCCCGCGTGCCGAATCTCAGAAACGGCAGTTCCCTGCACTTAAAGGAGCCGGCGTTTCCCCTTTAAGAGCAGGAGCCGGCGTTTCCCCTTTAAGAGCAGCTGCGTTTCCCTTTTAAATGCACGAAGCTGGCATTTCCCTGCGAGCCTGATCTCAAGTGGAGATCAGACTTGGGAGGAAACACGGGTTCCACACACTTAAAAGGAGAGAGGGGGGTGGCTGTGGGTGTTGGGCTTCCCCCGCTGGCCATCTAGCCGGCGGTGGGTAGAACCCCCTCCCAAAACGGGGGACCCCTGGCAAACCGGGGGGTTTGGCAACCCTAAAGTCCTTGCAGGACTTGTCAATATAGCTAATTCTCAACATGGCTGCATTTGTGGATATTTAAATGTGGAAACTGGAGCTGTGAACAGACAAGATATATTTTTCTACAAACTTGAAAAAGCTCAGGTTTGCCTTAAATTCTGAAACCTAACAAAAAAAATAACAGAAGTAGCACCTGTACCTTTAAGAAACAAATGTCCTCTGCAGTGGCCACTACGGGAATTGCTAAGCAACCACAGAAGTCTTGCCAGCCTTCAAGCCTTGGTTTCTGTCAGTAAAAGGCAGGGAGAAGGGGCAGGACACTTTCCAAGCTCTTTTGGCCTTGAGGGGAGGACACATTGGCCAGGCTCACCAGCAACTACTAGCAGACCTAGCTGCTTTCTACTATTCACATACACCCAGCCTAACCTGCCTCACAGGGTTGTGGTGCAGACAAAATGGAATGGAGGAGAATGATGTAAGCTGCTTTGGACTAGTAGGTGGGGGGGAGAAGGAGAGAAGTAAGCAGAGAAAGGTGAGGTTATGGAGCTGTCAGGAGGAGGAAAAGAGGTGATAGAGGGGGGGAGGGGATACAGGGGAAATGAGGTGCATCTAGCAGATTCCCCACTACATAACTGGGCCCAGCTAGCAGTGCCTGCACCATGCAACTGCACCTGGCAGTAGCCAGCAAAGCCACACAACTGGGCCCAGCACAGCCTGGTAGCTGCCATCAACAGCATTTTCTTGGAGAAAGGCTGCCAGGGAAAGGGACAGAAGCTGAAGATGGGAGTAGCTAAAGGTAGGTTGGTTAGTGGGTGGGCTGGGAAGGAGAGAAGGAAGCAGGAAAAGGCAAGAAACTATGAGGGCTTTCAGGGAAAGGAAAAACAAAATAGGGGGAAGAGGGAAATGAGATGACCCCCATAGATCCTCATGGGTCTCCCATAGGCTTGCCAAGTCCCCCCGGGGAGTGGGGAAACCCCCGCCCCAGAGGCCCATTCCCCTCCGGCGGCGGATCTGGCCCCGGGGGAACCCCACCCCGATGTGCACGTCACCCGGAAGTGACGTGACGATGCGGGGCACGCTGGGGGCAAGGTCACGGTCATCTGAGGGAAAACTCTATGGTTTTCCCTCGGATGGTCGTGGCCCCGCCCCCAGCATGCCCCGCGTCGTCACGTCACTTCCGGGTGACGTGCATGCGGTGCACGCACGCGTTCCAGACGCAACCCAGGAGTCCCCCGCTCCAGGTAAGAAAGGACTTGGCAACCCTAGTCTCCCACTTGTGCTTCCCAGAAGACCAGCCCTCCTATAATTTTTCACTGCAGTTTGTCTCCTCCTGCCACGGTCCTTTTCTCCTAGATAAGTGGACTAAGTTCAGGATGCCTTTCTGGACAGGCCACATTCAGAAAAAGAATGAGAAAGTTCTGAGATCCTACAGCTCCAGGTCAACACAAGTCAGTGATGGTACCTTCTCAGGCAATGTGAACCTGTGCATAAAGTATATTTTAAACGCCTATTTGTCACACCTTGCCCCATTTTAAGCAGTACCGTATGATTCCTTTGTCACAACTTCCCTCCCTCTTTGATGTAACACACTTGGACTCCAAGTGATTATATTATTTATTTATTTATTTATTCAATTTATACCCCTCCCTCCCTGTCGAAGCAGGCTTAGAGCAGCATACATATAAATACAATTAAAATCATCCATGAAACCATTTTCCTAAAATGCCAGTACAATTCTCAGATAAAGCTTAGGTGACAGCCCTGATGGAATTCTCATCAGCTCAGTTTGATCAGCTAATTTATGTGGTGAGACAGGCTGAAGGTGCTAAAGCCAGGGCACAGGCTTACTGTACTAACTTTAACCCCAGCCTCTATTCCTGTACTTATTTTCAGGGTCATGCTAGAAATTGTTATTCCAGCAGCTACAGAATGCCCTGGCTCAGCTATTATCAGGAGTTAGATGGAGCGTGCACATTACTCCCATTCTCCAGACACTCCATTGGCTGTCCATTTGTTACAAGGCTCAGTTTAAGATATTGGCTATCACATACAAGCCCTTCATGGCCGTGGTCCTTCTTATTTGTGGGACCACCTCTCCCCTTATGCTGTCACAACAGTTTCATTCATGTCAGCAGGGTGTTCTGCAGATGCCAACCTGCAAACAGGCAGAACCAGCAACTGCCTGTACTCCATTGTGGCTCCCATTTTATGGAATGGCCTGCCTGATGAGGTCAGTATATGAGGTCACACTCTCCTGGCTTTCCACAAACTATGCAAAACTGTATTATTCAAGACCTGAGTAGGATTCTGAGAAAACTTGCTTAGCATTAGTTTTTAAATAATACGCTATATGAAGTAATACTTTCTTTTTGTATCCTATGCCTACTGCCAAATTGCCAATCCATTTCACTACATGACCACAGAATCTCAAAAGGCCATTGCAGTGCTGGAAAAAGTGGAAACCCAACTAACCAAGAAGTTGGAACACTTGTCCTACAAGGAACAACTACAGAATCTGAGGCTTTTTGGTTTACAGAAAAGATGACTGGGAGAGAGGCATGATATAAGTTGTGCTATAGAGAAAAAGGCAAAAGTGAATTTTTTCTCCATCTCCCACAATACTAGAACTCACAGGTAGCCAATGAAATTCATGGGCAGTAGATTCAAGGCCAAAAAAAAGGATGTATTATTAATTCAGAGAATAATTAACCTATTTTTTTAGTCCATCTTTCTTTTGGAATTCACTGCCTTGGTATGAAGTGATGGTGC